TCTTGCTATTCAACCAACTTTCTTCTCAGAGGTGAAAACTATAGACTACTCGGCTTCACAAAAGGTATGTACGTGTGGACGTGTAGCTGTGCCATTCGTTCATAGCTGGATCCTCACAATGATCCTAGTGAGCAAACGTGGAGCGACTGTTTGCACCCTAAAAGCTACCTAGTCTGCTAGGTGACATCTTATATTTTTTTTTTGAGTTTTTATAGGTTTTTTACATAACACCGCTCTATATCTACGATTCTCGATAAAGATGGGTAAGAATTGGGTCAGATCTTCGACTTAAAAATACTGTGTTGTACATAGGTGTGCAAATATGTATAATTAACTCAGCTCGAGAATACTTACCTGTACCAAAACATAGGAGAATTAGCAACAGGTGGCACAGTGTAGTGAAAAGGAGGGATAAAATTGCATCTTTCGGAAATACCATTGTTCTGCTGTAAATTTTATTTTGACTTTAGTAGATATTTAGTAACTATGGTAAAAATAATCAAAACAAATATCAATGCTTGTGTCTATGATGATGAATAAATAACATAATGAATGTAAACGACAACGGGGTTAGATCTGATTTTTGCAGATACAATCTGACTGAAACTGCGGTAATTACGCAACATCAGATAACAGTAATACGAGTATATTATACCTTGAAAACATAATTATAGAACTTTAATTTGAGCGCAATCGACAGATTTTGCATATTGGATTTGCAAGAATGTACACCGTATTAAGTCCGCCGTTTTAATATTTGGAAAATGGATATCGTAATCGTTATTAGCGACCTGGAAAACGTAGAAATGGATTTTTATGTTGTAAAACTTAGTAAATCTTTCGAATTTTGGCTATATTTCAGGACTTTTGGACCACTGCACTGTGGCATCGATAATTTGTGGGCTTAATTATAAATGTCAATGCGTGAGAAAGCATAAATGATTTGCGTAGTATATTAAACCAAAACCATCCATCCTTGGAAGACTAGTGGAGATAGTAGGGAGGAAAGCGTCTTCCAGTTTATTTATTCTATATCTATAATATAGCGCATCAATCTATACCAGAAGACGAACAATATATTGCGACTGGTCAGCTTGAGCGCCACGAATGAATGCGATATGCAAGGGAACCCGGCAGTACCGTGGGCCCGAAACCGAACTTATGTTATGTGACGTCACGACTCAATCACAACTCGCAACAACACCTAACACAAACATGTCATAACATACTCAAATTTTAAGTTATTGGACAATTCTTTCAGATTTCTGGAAGGTGCTAGTTGTATTATTATATACAAATGAAAGTAGCAGTATTTGCGACTATCAGAAACTTCTTAATTGTGGAAATTTGGAGTAGCGCAGCTACTGGGAGCATTTCAAGTAAAACGTTTTCAAAATGATAGTGTTTCCGACTGTACCAGGAGTACATATCACCTTATTCATTTTAAATGAAACAACCATACATTATTAAATTGTGTTCTAAACACATTTCATGTTCAAAATCTTGCATCTAATTCTACCTGTTTTTGGAAAAGGGTCAGCAGCTTGTACGAATTTCAAAGTGCGTTATTTGCTTCCATCCTTTGGGATACAATCTGTTACGGTTGCCTTACGGTAAGGAAAATGCTTTAGTATATTTTTTCACATAATTATTTAGATGACAAATCAGGCAGGGTAATGGACAAATAAATGAAACTTAAATGCAAGTAAACTTAAAAGGCCAGCTTTTGTTAAGCGTTGAAAATAAGGTTATTTTTGTGATTTGTGGTCTACTGTGTCAATCAGCAAGCAATATTTATAAATATTGATTTGCTTCATGGGGTTTTTCTGAATTACATTTAGAGATTTTGTATTCGCGGCAATCATCTTTGAGAGCGTGGATACATTCCCGGCTGCAGCTAGCAACTGGCAATAAAAGTCTCTTGGAGTTGATCTATCGCCTGCCATGTTGCAAGCACAAACACGGGAAACAATCCGCTTGGAAGCCTAACAGAATGGCCAGGTTATAGTCCACAAAAGGTTACGTGACAATCCATTCAATACAAAGTTATATCTAGCTCTACTATAGGTACTGGTATTCTGCCCCCTTAAGGGCCCTTACATGAAGCAAAAAGAGTTTTGCTCAACACGACGCAGAACGATTTCTCTCGACATCTCAATAATTGTCGATTAATCTGGGATAAATAAACACCATCAGTCCTAGCAAAATAAGCCTTGAACCCCGGTACTGATGGAAGATTAAACAAGATGCAAACAGTAAGCTTTGACGTCACGCAAGTGGTGCTGCTCATTGAGAATCAGTGATGGAGGTCAAAACATGCAGACTGAAAACAGAGCAATGTGCATAGTGGAGAATATACGCTAGATCTCAGTCGCCAGCTTGAGACGAGAATGAGACAGAGCCGGTAGACCGCACATGGTGTGAGAACGATGGTCCCTATATACCGCATCCCCTTAATAACTCTCTCCGACTTGAAGCAAATAGAGTTTTGCTCTGCACGACACGCGACGATTCCTCTCGGCATCGCAGCAGGAACCGTAGCAGCAGTAGCGGTGGCGGTATTCGTAGTCGTTTTGTTCCCGTTGTTGGCCTGGAGCACCGCACTCGCGAACGGCCCGTTTGTTCGATTTCCCGTGCAGATTCCCCTACTGCTCCTCTCACTCCTCACCGCGCTCCATACAAGCTCCAGGCGAAACAATTATACTCGGGACACCTCAAATATTAATGAGGAAGCAGCCGCTACGTGAATTGTCTTAGCATAAGTATTGTTCTCGCCTTCTTACGTTGCGATTTACGCTCTTCCTTTCCTATCTTAGTCACAATTCTTAAACGCTGGGTGTATTTTTTCACGAAAAAGCAGTTTGCGATTGTCATCTTAAGAAAGTTGTCAAATGAGAAATATTGACATAGGAATTTAGTTGCATTCAGGGGGGTGTACGCAATATACAAGGACTTGTTCCCGGCTTTGAGTGACATCTGATTAGAGATGAGCAAAAACTCGCAAACTTTTTTTTTTTTTTTTGGTGAGGGCGGATTGCATTTACGCACCATACCATAGCCCAGCTACGGCGTGTGTGGGACTCCAGGGTCTTGAGGAGATCACCTAATACCCACTAAACCCTAAACCTCCGCGTGGCCCGACTCATCAGCGTCTCGGTAGGCCATGTGTTGTGCGTGACCTGCGGTCTGCTACAACGTCTCCTCATGTGTTTCAGTCTCTGGGAACGCCGGGTTGGTTCCCTTTACCTCGCACATTCTATCGATGTCGTTAAGCGATCATCGATAGAGGGTCTGCTAGGTTCTCTTGAAACTCTTGTTTTCGAAAAATAAGAGTTTCAAGTCCTCTTACCAATATGGTTCCTGGTGCTGGTTCTGAAGGGTCCTGGTCCTGGTGGGTCCTGGTCGTGGCGGGTCCTGGTTGGTCCTGGTCCCGGTGGGTCCTGGTCCCGGTGGTTCCTGGTCCTCTGCATCCACGCCGTGGGGGGGGGGGAGCAACCGCGAGTTCTCCTAGTCTCCTAGTCAAGGTTCCAGTTAGCGGGGCCAACTGGGACCTTGGTCTGGGGTACCTGGTTCTGCGGTTGCGAGGCCTCTCGTCCGGATCGTAGTCCATGAGGAATCGTAGCTGCTCGTTCGGGTGATCCTGAGCTTTCTCGAAGGTCTTCTCCGCTTTTTTCCTCATGTACTCGTGGATGGTGTCCCAATGCAGGTCTCTATGCAAGGTTGAGTTTCTTACGTAGGATGGTGTACTGGTGGCGATCCGGAGTAGCTTCATCTCTAGAGCAGCAAGTCGCTTGCGGTAGCTGGGGGCAGCGTACCCCCAGACCGCGGAGGCGTAAGCGAGCTGAGGTCTGGCAATGGCCTTGATCAGCCGTAGCTTGGTCGCTAGCGGGGAGTGGTGGGTTCGCGTGAGCCGGTAGGCATGCCAACGAACCAACCGTACAATCGCGGCAATCGCTTTGGGAGTGACACATGCGAGTGGCGATTGGCGGTTAAAAACGAGCGGATGGCGTTGCTTTTATATATGGTTGTGAGTTGTGACTGTTGCGAGCTGCGAATGCGAATTGTTAGGATTGGTATTGGTGGTTTCTATTTTCAATCTCTAGGTTGTTTTTTTGTTTGACTAGCCAGCATTATTTTATGTTCAACAATGTTTAAAAAGAGGAAAATATCAGATAAGACTAGTACCACGAATTTGAGAAGACACATGGAGTCAAAACACCCAGCTGTGTCATTAAATCCCTAAGGTGCTTCGGTAAGTATTTTAACGTTTTAGTCCAAGAGCTCGTAGACATTTTGGTAACGTACTTGAGGCACTATGAAAACTTGTATACTCCTTGTGCTTCTTCTATTATTTCCAAATACAAAAGTACAGAACTGGCTGAAGGTCAATGGGCCATTGGCGTCCCATGGGTTATAAAAGGTATTTTTCAAAAAAAAAAATCGAAAAAACATATTTGAGGCATTTTGAGATTTTCATAAACTAATATTTATGATTAAAAATACATAAATCTATATATATATATATACATATATATATGAGACATTTGATTTCATTGTTAATAAAATCTACAAATTTGGAATTACAAGATTTAAAAAAAGGTATTATCATTTCTCCTAACCTTTATAACAGAAATACAATGTTATTTCACTTTTTGATAACAGTTGTTAACACATAACAGTTAAATATGACCAATTTAATGTAATTAACCTTTTATAGAAGGGAAATAATGAAATAACACAGTCTCAAAATTTCAAATCGCAATCACAGGTTGCACTCACAGTGGGTGGTAAATCGCAATCGCAGTTTTAACTGCGATCACAAAATCGGATCTTTGATCATCTCTACATCTGATGATTGCGCCAAATACTAATGTTGATACTTATCATCCTAGATGGCGCAGCTTAACTTATTTTTTCAATCACTTGTAAAAAGGATTATCAATGACGCACTGTCACCGAGAAGTAATTTGATTCAAATTTAAAATAGTACCCAGGTAATTAAAAGAAATTAGCAGAATGGAGAGAGAATGCCCGTCAAGAGATACCGATACATAAGCCCTAAACTGACGCGAGAGATTGAGAGAGAGAGACTGGAATCGCCGAACAGCCAAAAAGTTGTCTGCAGGGATCTGGAAGGAGAGCATTCGGCCCTGTTGAAGGAATGCGCAGCCTCAAGAACTCAACTAGTAGAACGAGACAAAACTGTATACTTGAAAGCTCACCAACGAAATTCAAAGCCCGAGGAATGCGTCATCAAGATAAGTAGAAAGTAAGATCGGGGAAAGAGGCTGACAGGTTATGTCATCGTCTGCGTCCTCTTCGGACGTGAGGTAAGAGATGTCTGAGCAGGGGTTGATCCATCCCCGCAGCCCCGAGTCTATCGTTTTTTATCTGATACCTACATGAGTGTACAGATGAGGTCATGATCTCTATAAATATTTTGTATTTTTTAAGCGCCAAAGTATATGACTAGCTTTGATAAGCAAGTAGGTATAGTTTGTCTTGATTTTGGTTGGTTTGATAATGACGTCGAGGATGTTGACTTTATATTTCAAATGTAACTGAGCTAAATATCTTCGAACAACTATTTTGTGTTGGTCTATTTTATGATGCATTTGAAAATATTGCAAACTATGAAATTGAATCGGATTCAAAATGTTTGATCAGGCGAACAGAGTGGCAAGACGTATAGGTGCCTATAAATAGACTGAACGCCATTCTTTAAATTCCATGTATCTAAAGAGCGTTTCAAGAAGAGCACAAGATTTCACTGTTCAATTCAACATTGTTTTCTGTAGCAAAGTATTGAAAGGTCTATTGATTTAGAAAATATACATTTAAGAATTATGTATGAAACGAAATAAGTTTTAAATGGCTTTGCGTACCGTTTTGACGAAATTTTCAATGACGTTATTGTATACATGTAGTGGTATTTCAGTGATACAGCATCTAATTTCGGCGTTCAATGCTTCGACGGTTGCAGGCTAATTGGAATAAACCTGTGACTTTAGATAACCCCACAGCCAGAAGTCTAAGGGCCAATTTCACCAACAACAGTCCGTTATTCTCCACCTATAGGGTCACAGACCGACAAATACAACGAATGAGCTTCAAGTTCCAATAACCAAATTTTAGCAACCAATAGCTATGAAATGTTGAGAACAAAATACTGTCAAAGTACGAGACGACAGCTTGTCATTGAAACATCACCAGCTTATTGAATATTAAGAAATTACATATAATTCAGTCAAAATTTAAAGAAATGTTGGATTTTTGAATAAAATTCATGTTTTAATTACTATTGTTGATTTTTTATTCATGTTTGTATTATTTTCTTCAATTGATATGCGATACTGGGTGTTTTTTCCTATAAACCTCTTGCAGATAGCCATTAAGCACCTACTTGATGACAGGCTCTACCAAAAGATATTGCTCGTTTCCAAACATTCATTCATTTACTTGCCGTTCATTAGAACCATTATGGCACCTTAGATTGATAGTCCCACAAAACCATTCAGGTTTTTTGATATCCATACATCCATTGTACTATCAGTGTATGTGGTGTAACACCTTCTTTTATCGTCGTGTCTGTTTTTGCTTACTATAGTGGGTTATTTTTGAGAGACAATTTTCAAATTTGAACCAGTGCTGCATCTACATGTGATCAATTTTTATAAATTATACGCTGAAAAACTGCAACTCAGAAACACTGATTTTGAGGATTAATTACAAACGCAAATAAGTACAAAAAAACAGCACGAGAAAAATCGACAAAAACGACCAGTGAGTATATTCCTAATCACCATATATTTACGAAAGACAAGATAACAAATAAGAAAACAAACAGGCCCGTATCCAGTTGAAAATGGTAGCTAGGTTCAAATGTTGCAAAACAAAAGAAGCTCTTTCTTATTTTTGCATATCATGCCATGCAATTTTTCACGCGAGCTGTGCAAATAGATTGAGTTCAATTGTAAAGCTCTCAAATAACAGAGTATATTGTTCTGCTGCCTGTGAATCGGAGGAAAACGAGCATCGAAACTACAATTCTTACACTACAGAAATTAACTCATTAAAGCACGAGATACAAGATAAAGAGAAACATATAATTAGATTAACGAAGAAGGCCAAGGATTATGAAGAAGATGTTTTTGAATCTGAACAAAGTTTCATAGAGGAGCAAAATTCTTTTAAAGACCAATTGAAAAACCAAAAAGGAAGAATGTGTACACTACAAAAAGAAATAGTCGACGCAGAAGAGAAGAACAAAAACCTTCAGAAACAGATGGACAGTTATGAACAAATGACAAAAGACATGCAAACAGAGATGACGAAGCTAAAAAATATTCATGCCGATATGCTGAAAACCATTAGTCTTTTGGAAGAAACAAACAATGCATACTCAAGGAAAATAGGCGAATTAGAAGAAAGAACAAAAGAAGACAGGTGTCGATTGTCGGAGAACACTGAAGGAAATGCCAACGATCAACAGAATATATTAGACGATAGGGATAAACAGCTGAGGACTGAGGAAAATGTATCTTTGTATGATGAACTTTTTAAACAATCCAGGAACAGTGCGAATACTTCCAAGAAACTGCTCATTGTGGGCGATCAATTGGCCAGAAACTGCGCTAGAGTCTTACATAATTCAATGAAGAGCATAGGCTATATAGTTGAAGGAATTGTTAAGCCCAACACAGAGGCTGCAAATATCTCAAGTAATATTTTCACTCAAACTATGGATCATGGACAAAGTGACTATGTAATTATTGTTTTCAGCACAAAAAACATAAGCAACCACAAAACATTGAACAGTTTTCTTAGAAATGTATTACCACTGGGTAAATTTACAAATCTAGTAATTCTTCTAAAGTCCGAGCCTGTAGATGAAGCCTTAGCAGTTCTATTGGAAAACAAAATAACTAGTTATATTAAAAATAACCCTAACTGTTCAGTGAAGTTATTAGTAGTAAAGAATGGTTTTCGCAAATCACTGGCAAACATCATAAGAAGTCATGTGCAGACGAGCTGCTCTACCCTCAAAAGAAACGTTTTGTTATCGCCTCCAATAATTCCAATTTATAAAATGGAACGTCGAGTGCATTGCAACAGTGAGAGTACTGGTGCTTTTTTACTGGCCAGTGGGAATCCGATACTAATCACCTAGTACGACATGATTCGGGTAAACAGAATGTATCGAAAAATTCCTTATCACACGCTCGCGCCTGTGAAGTGCGCACGAATGATTGTCGGTATAAACTTTTACATTTAAACGTACAGTGTTTGAGAAACAAGGTTGATGAACTTGAGTTGGTGGCAAAACAGCACAGTTATGACTTTCTTTGTTTGAATGAGCATTGGTTGACTTGCGATGAGATTAGTACTGTGAATATTTGTGAATATATGAATGTGTCTAGTTTTTGCAGGTCAAGCAAAATCCACGGTGGTGTTTGTATTTATGTCAATAATAAGTTTAGTGCTAAGCCTTTGTGTGACAAAGTTTTAAACATTTCTGAGGAGTTACACTTTGAGGTTGCTGGTGTCACCTGTTTGGATGGCACACAAATTCTAACCATATATAGATCACCAAATGGAGACTTCAATATATTCTATAATAAGCTTCAAATACTACTTAGTACTTTAGACTATAAGCAAAATATAATCATATCTGGTGATTTTAATTTTAAATTTAACACTCACGACAAGCATGCCAATCTGATGTGTGATATTTGTGTTTCTTTTGGACTGTATCAGACTGTGAATGTGAATACTAGGCAGAATGCTTGTCTAGATAATATTTTCACCAATATAAACATGTCAAGCATAGTTGTAGAAGCCTTTGATACATGTTTTTCTGACCATTTAGGTATTGCATTTCATTTTAATTTGAAAACTCTAAAACCTGTTAGGAAGAGAATAAACTACAGGCCTGTCACTGATGAAGGTCTTTTCAAGTTATACAGTAAAATTGAAACAGTCGACTGGATCTTTTTGTCTGATATTAGTTTACCACTGACCACTAAACTCGAACGATTCATGAACATCTTAACAATAATATCGCTGAGTGCTTGCCAATCAAATCTAGGTTAGTATCAGAGGGTTGTCGCAACAAAATCAACTGGTTTGATCACGAATTGGCTCATATGAGAGAGACTTTGGAACTAATAACACAAATTAATAAAGATAATCCCCAAGTAGTATCAAAGAAGGAGATTAATGTCTTCAAATCAAAGTACCGATCAGAAATCAGAATTAGGAAAAAAAATGCTCATGATAAATATATACGTAGAGCGTCAGATAAACAAGCAGCTATGTGGAACGTGATTAAATCCAATGGTGTGCAATCATCAAAAGCACATTCGTCTACTCTCAGCGCGAATGATTTAAACTCTTTCTTCGTCAGCATTGCTGATACCATTATCGCTGAAATTCCAGCTACCCAGTCGAACTTCAAAGATTTTATACAGACTAGTGATACACTACATTTCAACTTTCGAACTGTTTCATTCAATGATGTTCGAGACGCAATCAAAAGCTTAAAGAATTCTAAAAGTAAAGATCCATATGACATCGATGTTAAAATTATGAAGACCTTAAATAACTTGTTAGTATATCCTATAACAAAATTGATAAACATGTGTATAGAAAATAATGTCTTTCCTGCCTTATTAAAACTTGCAAAGATTGTGCCACTCTTCAAGAAAGGCTGTGAGAATGATCCATGTAATTTCAGACCCATCTCTATAATACCAATTATAGCAAAAATTTTCGAAATTCTTCTGAAGAATCAGATATGTGAATACTTCGAAGGTAACAATTTATTCTGTAACAACCAGTTTGGATACCGTACCAACAGATCAACGAAAGCAGCAATAAACAATTTTATCAGTTTCATCAACAAATGTCTGGAAGATAACATGTTTGCCCTCGCTAACTTCTATGATCTTACAAAAGCATTTGATTGTGTCCAACATCACATTTTGATTCAAAAGTTGTCGCTGTATGGTTTTAGTAATAATAGCCTGTCCTTAATTGCGTCTTATTTATCAGATAGAAGACAGTATGTTAGTTTTCAAAATTGTTTATCCAACAATGTGCATATTAAGCACGGAGTTCCCCAAGGAAGTGTCTTGGGACCGATTCTTTTTTTGATCTACATCAATGATGTGCCAAACTGTAGCATCAATCAGTATATATTATTTGCGGATGACACGACATCAATATCCTCCAATAGTAACTTTGATCATGTATTGCTCGATTCTCAGCAGCATTTTGACAACATTCAAAACTGGTTTAATGCCAACAGTTTGTCAATCAACATAGCGAAAACTCAATCTCTTCTACTCAGTACTCGTCCACATAGAAGTGATTTAGTAGAGCCCGTGAAATTTCTTGGAGTGATTATTGATGCAAGCTTAACTTGGGAATCACACATCACTTCTTTATCAAAGAAGTTATCTAAAATAACATATGATACGTAGTTTAAATACCTACGTAACAAAATCGACTTTAATGACAGCCTATTATGCTTACTTCCAATCTAACTTGCAATACTGCATACTGATTTGGGGACATTCATGTCATGTATCGAAGGTGTTTGCTGTTCAGAGACGATGCTTGAGAATAATAGCAAACTTATATTTCAGACAGTGTTGCAAGACGACATTTATCGACCTAAAAATTTTAACTGTGCCATGCATATATATACTGGAATGTCTGATCCACGTTAAAAATAATTACGATGATTACAGAACTCCGAAAGAGATTCACAAATATAACACAAGGTTCAACAATGAATTAATACCAGAGTACACAAGACTTTCAAAAACTAGACACGGAAGTAATTATTTCGGTGTGAAATTTTTTAATGCGCTGCCCAAGTTTTGTCAAACACTCAACTCAACCATTTTTAAAGCAACTGTGAAAAGATATTTAGTGACGAAATCTTTTTACAGCATAGATGAGTTTTTAAATAATGATTCTACCGACTTTGTTCCATAATTGTTGACTATTTATTACTTTGTTTTCGTTTGTTTTTTTTATGTGTTATTTTTGTATTATATTTTATCGTTCTCCAGACGTGTGTAAGGACATTTGAGTACAAACATGAAAAATGATTAGTATTTCATAATTTTTTAACCATCTTATTTTATTGTTGCTCTAAATTTTAAATAGTTTTATCAAGTTTTTTTTACCTTTTATTGCCACTTTGTGTTTTACGTTTGTCTTTTTTCGTATTGTTTGTTACTTTTACTTACTCTTTTATGTTCTACTTTAAATGACCTGTGCAAACACATTTTTGTGTAATAGTACCAATAAATTATTATTATTATTATTATTATTATAAAGTTGAATACTTTTCGTTGTTAAGGAACTGAACAAACATCCACAATATTCACAGCGATTAAGAAATTCTCAAATATATGCCTTAAAGCTACCAGCAAAAAAACTACAAATTTGCCATATTTTTCCTTTTTCAGGAGTACACATTCTAGGTTATATTTATATTAGACATTTTTTGAATTCAGCTGATTATTGCATTTCAAGACTCATCGAATGACACACGTCTGGGATCTGTCAACCCTTGGTCCCAGTCACAAAACATATACTCTGAAGAAGGTTTAATTCCATGCTATTCAGTGACAACACGGCGACTTGTATGGCCATTTTGTGAGGATGCGACATGGTTGCCATATTGTGCATTAATATCCCGTTCCACCCCCCTGGTCCCAGTAGAGTAAGCTCCGCCAACTGTTGAAATATACTCTACTATGCTTTATAAGAGTATTCGTGGAATTTTTCCCAAAATCGTTGCACAACACATGGAAATGCCGTCGGTACTCGGGTTATGCATCTTGATAGTAAGGATGTTCGATAGGTTCCTATATTTAGAAGCATCAATACATTTCACGAGTATCGTCATCTTTCGATCCGGACTGTGTCAGAAAGAGTGATTGCCATTTGGCTGCGACATTACCCTGCCAAATCAGACATATCTTTCATCATTTTCAAAGAAATTGTACAAAATCTTCAAATTTGTGAAGTTAGCGAGTTTCACTTCATACGTTGTTACCAGACATGTCCAAATCATCAGTTGCTGCCGTGATATTCATCCCGACCACTGCATCCCCACGGCTAGGCAACCTGTACATTAAATTTGTATTGATAGGGCAGCGGGTTATGCTATAAATCATATGTCACTGTTTTTGTGCACTGATTGCAACGATTAGATGATACCAAAAATATTTTCATAAATAGGAGATCTTTTCCTTTCCGGATCGAACAATCCACCAAAGATGCTTATAATCATGATACCTAGTAAATTTGCATAAAAAAACCTCTGTATGTAGGAGCTTTCTTACATTTGTTCATCAATTTGATGATACAACACATCTGCTGAAAATGATCATAATCAGGATAGTAAACTATGACGAAGGTCTCCACTGTATGTAAGAATTTTCAGATACTTCATTTGCAATTTGACAACAGACCATGACGGTGTTCACATTTTACAAATATTCTTCAAGAAGTATTATCAGTCTAGCTCCAACTATCATAAGTACTATGTTTGTATTCCTACTTTAAATTCAAAACCAGCAAATGTAAAAGATTCATGTCGCACCCTTCATCACGGGACGTGATCGTCGTTAGTCTTGGCAACCCTGCGAGTGACAGATAGATAACCCCACTAGTGAAAAAGGCATTCAAACAATAAACATTATTAGTTTTTTGATTTTCGGACTTAAAAGGCATTATTTGTGA